GGGTTTTGGGCTTAGGGTTTTGGGGTTTCGGGTTTAGGGTTTTGGGCTTAGGGTTTTGCCTTTGGGGTTTAGGGTTTAGGGTTTTAGGGTTTGGGGTTTCGGGTTTAGGGTTTTGGGATTTCGGGATTAGGTTTTGGGTTTTGGGTTTAGGGTTTTGGGTTTAGGGTTAAGGGATTAGGGTTTTAGGGTTTAGGGCTTAGGGTTTAGGGTTTAGGGTTCAGGCTTTTCGGGTTTTGGGTTTAGGCTGTTGGGTTTGGGGTTTTAGGGTGCTAGGGTTTAGGGTTCAGGGTTAAGGGTTTCGGGTTTAGATGGGTGGGCTTTCATCCAGCTAATAATAACCCAAATTAAACCCAAGAATCGATGGCAACAACTACGCTAGTTCGACCCCCCCCCCCCCAACTTAAAGCGCATAACCCTGGACCCAAATTCCATACGGTATATATATATATATATACACCTACCTAGCGACTTTTAAGTCGGATGCACTGAAACCGAAGTTTGCAAGGTATCAAAACCCAGCATCTTTCGGCAGAGGTCTTGACATTATTAGGGGTGTCCGGAGGTCTCGGCTTCAGGGTGTCATTGTTCTGTGTTGGGGTGTCAGGCCCTATATAGCTGGGTTCCGATAATTGAATATTCGAACTCCTTCTACTGGCTAGAACTTAGGTAGAGGATGTACTACTCCAATCCAGAATGATATGCTAGTCAATTATGGTTCAGTATTATTATAATTAATTATGTGATGAAGCCATGCAACATCGGGTGTCATCGTTTCGCAATGCAAGCCACCACTTTCGTGACATGATTCTCTTGGGGGATTATGTCCAGTGGTACACGACCACAAATCCCACGAGAAAATAGGGCACGATGACCCAGTGTCTGCATATCGCAGTACGTGTATAAGATGGGTTCCAGGGCTCTAACGCCTTCTCTGCCAGCACCCCCGTGGGTCTGAACATGTGCGTGAGCTTGGGCTTTGCGACTTCGGCCACGTGGGCCTTAACTGATATATCGTAGCAACTCAGCACAGCTAGCTTCTGCTTAAGCGGTGGTCCGGGACCTGTTCTATGCTGTACTATTATATATTCCAAAGAAACTAGATGCTGATGACCCGAAATAGCTAGCACGAGCCTGAAGGCCGATTGTTGCAATTGAGGGGTGGAATCCAAGCATTAATTTGTGCTCGGCCAGAAAGTCTCCGAACCCTAGTCCTAAAGGTCTCCGAGCCCTAGTCCTCAACCCTAAAGCGAGAGTCTCCGAACCCTAGGCCAAAAGCCTGAAACCCAGGCCCTTTATCAATTCCCATGCATCAACACCTCTAGCCCGAAACCACAAATCTCCAAAGCCTAGGCTTAAACTTAAAAAACCCAAGCCCGACTTCCCAAATCCTATACCAATATGTAGTCCTAAACCCAGAACCCAAAATCCCCCAAGCCTAGGCCTAAACCCTAAATCCCAAGCACTTAATTCCCAAAGCCTTTAAAGTACACCTACAGCCCCATACCCCGAACCACAAAACTCCAAACCCTAGGCCTAAACCCTAAATCCCAAGTGATAATCCCAAAGCCTAAACACCTAGAGCCCTAAACCCCAAACCAAAAAAATCCAAAGCTTAGGCCTAAACCCTAAATGCCAAGCCCCTCTCCCCAAAGCCTGCACCTAGAGCCCTAAACCCCAAACCCAAAACCCCCAAAGTCCTAAACCCCCACATCGCACAACTAAGCCTGCATTCTTTGAAAGGTAGACCCCAAATCCGAACAACCCAAACCCCATGTATATTCATAATATATATATATATATCTATATATATATATAGTTATATATATATATGTATATATATATTATATGTGTATATATATGTATACGCATGTATTAGCTGTATATACATACATATATATATATACCTTTCAGGAGATGAGGAAGCTATGGGCTGACTTGGCAGATTTGGAGGACCTTCGTCAGTTTCTGCTAAGTGAGCAGCGAAGAGGGCGATTCTGTCCATGTAAGGCACTCTAGGATGGGAGGCTTCGGTACTGTGTTTCTAAGAATCCCTAGGGTGTGTTGAAACTAAGGCCTAGTGTGTCTAGGGAAACCAGGTGATATCACCTAAATTTCGGAAGTTTCTGCTTTTAGATGGAGAATCCTCGTAGTGTGTCTAGGGAAACCAGGTGATATCACCTAAATTTCGGAAGTTTCTGCTTTTAGATGGAGAATCCTCCTACAGGGCCTCCCACGTGGATCAGAAGCAGGGAGCGTGACAAAGCGTGAAAAAGCGTGATTTCTCGTAGGGTGGTTTTTAGTAAATATATTAAGAGGACGAGGAGGGAGCGTGACAAAGCGTGAATCGAGCGTGAATTCCAGGATGGACCCTACGTACGTAGGCCTGTAACGGGTAGGTACAGCTAGGGTTTGGAGGGCATTTTAGCAGTGAGGTGGCATTATGGGTAGGGTTTCGAGCGCATTTTGCTCGAGACCTCTGAAGCTTGGCCTGCTCCCGGTGCTGCTGGTCATATCCATGGCCACCTCGGAAGCTGAGCTGGCCAAGGTAGGGATATTTGGTTGGATTGGCTAGAGCATAGAGCTAGGTTCAGCACATAAGTTCTTTTCGGCAGGTGGCTCAAGATGCTCTTCAGGCTGCACAACGGCGAAAAGAGCTGGTGTCAAGGATTGTGCAGAGCAAAGGTGCACAAGTTGCGGCCAAGGGGAAGGCGAAGGCAGCAGCAGCTAAGGCAGCCCCAGCAGAGAAGCCAGCAGCAGCTAAGGAAGCCCAAGCAGAGAAGCCAGATGCAGCTGAGGAAGCCCCAGCAGAGAAGCCAATCCCTGCAACCCCATCCCGTGCTGCACCGGCAACCAAGCGCCTGCATCAGAACTTGACTCCACTTACAGCCGACAAGAAGACACCCTCGACAAAGACTCCCGATGCCAAGAACCCAAAGATTGATGAGGACATTCCAAAGAAAGACCTTTTCAAAGGCGAAGCTGCAGCTAGATCATTATTATTAGTTTCCCTTGATCTCAATACTCTTTCAGGTTCCACGATGGATGATGATGTGGCCCCGGCGGAAGACTCGGCTGCATCGCAGCTGGAGAGAGCGCCCACGAACCTGTCCATCATGTCTGGAACTACTTTGGCTCTTGGGCAAACCCCGAGGACAGTGAGAAAGGCCATCTGAGGGGAGGGGTTTCCCAAGCTGCTAGGCTAGCTAGATATATCTGCCACCTCGCATGTCAGGCTCGGGAGGTTTGTGGCATGGACGAGGATGCGACCAGCTTCATGGGTGACACCTTAAAAGATGAAGATCTGGCCGAGGTTGATGACATGATGCAGGCCAGCAGTACCCTAAACCCTAACTTAGAAGAGATTGAGGTTCCAACGACTTAAATGGGGTGAATGAAACCCGATCGGGAGGATGTCCAACTGCAACCCCCAACCCCCTTAACCCTAAAGCCCTAAAACAGAACAAGCCCAATATATCTAGATCTATAGTCGTCTATCTAGCTATATATATATATATATATGTATGCATATATATATATATAGATATTAATGTATATAGTCTTTATATATATATATATATATATATATTATCTATCGCTCTATATATATATATATAAGATATATATATATATATATATGTATATATGTGTCTTTTCACGATCTCGAAAGCCTTTTCGAGTCCTCATAATAAAAATAATAATATGTATATATATTCATATATTCATATATATATATATATATATATATAATAATAATAATGTACAATATATCTACACTATCTGGTTATCATTATATTTAATTTGTGTCCTAATATGTATATTATATACATAGCTAATTTGCTTATTCATATATATATATATATATATATGTCAATTAATTGGGTCAGGACTTGAGATTGCAGCTCAACGACACCCAGCAGATCGAGGAGGCGACGCAAAGGACCCCACGGGACACAGATGCAGAGATGCCAGAGAAGGCACCCGAAGGATCCCAGGAGCCACAAGAGATGAAGCAGAAGGATGAAAGCGAAAAGCAGCAAGGATCCCAGGAGCCACAAGTGATCAAGCAGAAGGATGGAGACGAAAAGCAGCAAGGATCCCAGAAGCCACAGGAGATGAAGCAGAAGGATGAAGGCGAAAAGCAGCAAGGATCCCAGGAGCCGCAAGAGATCCAGCAGAGGGATGGAAACGAAAAGCAGCAAGGATCTGTGGAGCCGAAGATCCAGCAAAAGGATGGAGACGAAAAGCAGCAAGGATCTGTGGAGCCGAAGATCCAGCAAAAGGATGGAGACGAAAAGCAGCAAGGATCTATGGAGCCGAAGATCCAGGATGGAGACGAAAAGCAGCAAGGATCCCAGATGCCTAGCTTTGACAGCAAGGAAAAGATGCTCTCGTGGCTCGTGTCGTCGCTGGTGGGTGCTGGTCATTCAGGGGGTGGTTCTGGGACAGGGGAGCCATCCATGCTGGAGCAAGCCTTGAAACGACCGGGCACAGTTGATTTTGAGCAGTTGCTTGGGGCCTTGAAACCTGCAGAGCAGGAGCCGAACCCGTCCTTGCCTCCTGCCACCCCGAACCCATCCTTGCCTCCTGCCACCCCGAACCCATCCTTGCCGAGCATGTCTGCCCCGAACACACCGACCCAGCATGTTGCAACAGCAGCAGCAGCAGCAGTGGCGATGCCCGAGCCGGAAGCCTCACCAACTGCTGAGGACATTATCCATAAATTTATAAATAAAGATGGCAGTGGCTTCCTAAACCCTAAACCCTAAACCCTAAACCCTAAACCCTAAACCCTAAACCCTAAACCCTAAACCGAAAGCTCGGGGTGTTCTGTCAGGACACCAAAAAGATGAAGAAGAATGCCTACATGCGATTCACGAGGAGCCTCACGTCTCCCTACACACCGCAAGCTGTGCTGGATGCGTATGATAAGTGCAAAGATAATACTGGTGACTCGGCCCCCACTATTTATAATCGCCTCCACTCACACAAACCACAGCCTGGCTGTTATCTATAACTAAGGTAGAGTGAATCGATGCAAAGTCAACGAGCTCTTCAAGCAGTACACGGATAGCAACGAGAAGTGGGGGGAGTCGGACTTGGTCATGACAGCGGAGGCCCGCACAGCGCAAAGGTCCCACGTCCAGAGACGCTGGATGCTTCGATCGGACTGGGTTCTTAAAAATGTTTTTTCCATATTCGGTCATATATATACATATTATATATACACACATATATATATATATATATATATGGTTGCAGCTTCATATTATTATTTATTGCCTGCAGGACCTGATGCAGAAGTACAACAATGACGAAAAAGTCGTCAACGACATCATAGCTTCCAAGGCCACTTGGCTCTAATATGTTTCTTGAATGTCGTGGAATTATATTGAACTTTGCCGCAGATACATGCGACCAAGGAAGCAAACCCGGCTCACTGGATGGACAACCCTGATGCACCGGGGAACAGGGACCAGCTGGGACCAAAGATTACAGCATATTTGAATATATGATATTATATATAATATCATACAATACATATATATATATATAAATATATATTTAATATATATATATATATATATATTTTCGGACTTGTCCTGGGGTTAGAGGACGTGGGTAGCTGCTAGGGTTTAGGGTTTAGGGTTTAGGGTTTAGGGTTTAGGGTTTAGGGTTTAGGGTTTAGGGTTTAGGGTTTAGGGTTTAGGGTTTAGGTATATATTAGCTATAGCTATAGCCCCAAATCCTTATCCTAAACTCCTGATCCTAAGCTTAAGATAAAACCCCCAACCAATAATGTATATATATATATATATGCATACATATATATTTTAACTATTAACCTATTAAATCAGATCCTTTATTACAATCCCAAATCCCTTGTGACTCTGAAACTCTCAAACCCTCGAAGATCCTGACAATCCATCACCCAAACAGATCCTTACAATCCCAAATCCCTTGTGACTCTGAAACTCTTAGACCCTCGAAGATCCTGACAATCCATCACCCAAATCCCTGAAGCTTGAAGCCCCGACCCTGAAAACCAACCGCAAAGCCCTAAACCCCGACCCTCAAGCCTTGATTATGCTTGTTTCGCAGGACTACAGGGCCTACCTTTGCTGGGATGTCGCAACCGAGACGGCTGATGATGAGAGTGTCCAGACCGTGACACAGACCCGTGCAGCAGAGATTGATCAAAGTGTGGCCCGAAGCAGTGCAGCTTCGTCAAACACGAACAACGACGGCAACGACCTCCCGAAGCCAAAGCCCAAAAAGGACCCGAAGCCGAAGACCGTAGCGCAGGAAGGCCGCACTGCTCTTAAGCTGCAAACCAGCTACTAAATTAGCTAGTCTGTGGTAATACTATTATTGTCTGGATGCTATATGATCCAAGGCGATGAACCAGGCTTCCTCGAACCTTCTCGAAATTCAGGGCTTCGAGACCAAGCTCAAAGCCAACAAGCTGTCCCTCAACTGCATAAAGTTAAAGACGATGGCCTCGAAGCAGCATCTGCCCTGCAGGGACGACGGCCTCGTGAGAGCTTTGGTGCAAAGCATGAACAGCCAGGCTGAGCTGTTGAGGGCAGCCCGGGCAAAGTTGGAGGCACCTCTTTAACTCCTGGGGTCAGGTTTGAGGCTTGGGTTCCTTGATTTTTTTGTTTTGGGGGATATCGCTAGATTTTGGGTTGGGATTCTAGGGATTTCGGGTTTAGGGTTGGGGTTCGGTTTTTGGTTTAGGCTATGAGGTCTTTTGCCTAGGATTAGGGTTGTGGGGTTTAGCATATGTGGTTAGTATCTAATATAATCTAAAGTGTGCTGGGCTTGTCTGTGAACAGGAGGCCATTGCACATCAGGACCCCGAAGAGCAGATCAAGCAGTACGTGTATTGTCTGAACCACGCGAATGATGTTTACAAAAATGCTTCAAAGCATGTCCGGGTACATGCTCAGCCACCGAAAACACCAAAGGCGAAGGCCAAGAGTGGTGCTAAGAATGCTTCTTCCGCCAAAGGTGGCAAGTAGCTGAAGGGCTCTCAAGCGAGAGGACTAGGTTAGGTCGGCACCGATATCGACCGAATTTTGCAGCGATGCCTATGTCTGCAGTAGCTTGCACGTGCTAGATCACCAGAGTGCCTAGGGTAGCACCTCGAAGTCAATCGATTAGATACAGCTACTCATCTCCTAAGCCCGCTTATATATAATGTACCTAGGCCCACAACCTTGTATTAGGCTAGAGGGTGATGACGAGGTGTCAAGCAGCACTCGTAGCCGGATCTATGTGAACATGTGTCAATCCTGACCAAGGCTCGCTTTCAGTGCACCCAAGAAAAATCAGTACCGGCTTCGATTCCCATGCAAACCCTAAACCCTGAACCACAACTGGCTTCTTGCTGAGGTCAGTGCCACCGTTTTCGAAGAAGCTCCTCCTCAATCGCCTGAGATGGGCGATGGGTGGTTCCTTGATATCTAGATCTTAAACCCCAACACCTATTCCTGACCAGCTGTAAATAGGGGTTCATTACACCGTGCTGAGAACTAGCTAGAGTGATAGCTCTGGATCCTAGATTAATCCAAAGCCCAACCCTATAGACACCGCTTTTTTATTTTGCTCTTAAGTACCACATCCTAACCCCCTCACCCCGAGACCCTAAACCCTAAAGCCTTAAACCCAATAGTAGTGACAGTCTCCTAGCTAGAAACCCAATAATCCCGTCGAGGCCAAAGCCACATTTCCAAGTTTGCTAAAACCCCAAACCCTGAAACACCTATATTATCCTAACACCCTCACCCCGACGCACTAATCCCTAAAGCCTTAAACCCTACAGTCTCCTAGAAACACACAAATCACCCAGAACCCAAAGCCCAATCCTAAACCCTGCTATTTAATTTAAGTTCGATTCCTAACACCCGAACCCTTAAACACCTGTCCCAATCCCCTCGCCCCGACACCCTAATCCCTAAAGCACCTATCCCAACCCCCTCGCCCCGACGCCCTAAACCCTAAAGCCTTAAACCCCCAAGTCTCCTTGCAAGCAATACCATGTAATCCTATGCAAAGTCCCAGTGTCGAGGTGCTAATTAATCTTAGGAGTGCTCCTGCTAGCTCTTAGAGCAGCTCACTGGATCGCTGCATTGCTGAGATGGGTGTGGGGTGGCCTACACGCAGAAAAAGATTCTGCACGCATAAGAGCCCTTTTTTGAAGCCGGTTAAGGTTTAGGGTTTAGGGTTTAGGGTTCAGGGTTTAGGGTTTAGGGTTTAGGGTTTAGGGTTGAGGGTTTAGGGTCCCGACCTCCGCAATAATAGCAGCAACATATATCCCAAACCTGAAACTCTAGGCCCTGAGGTTCAAGCTCCAACCTGAAATTGTAAATGCATGCCCATGAAACCAACGACCTGCCGAAGTTGTATTGTTGGCCTGACCCACATGCCGAAAATCTGATTCGGTTCCAACCTCCCTAAACTGTAGATAACCCTGTAGCTTGAAGGATGCTGGGCCCCAACCCAGCCTAGAGCTGAATAGGCTGTAGCACATCAGATCGATATCAGCATGATTGCAAGTCCCCCCGAAAGCTTGTATTATCCCCTCCCGATCGTATATGACCCCGTATCAGACCTAATTCTTACTGAATCCAAACAATCCCGAACTGGTAATCTTCAGCCGCCCACTCGATAACCGATAGAAGCACCGCCGCCTGTGCGCAGATGAGAGCACCGCTTTTGCTGACTACTTGTTGGCTTCATTGGGTTCCGGTGTCCATCTGCTGCATTAGCTAAATGCTCTTATTCAGCCGATAATAGTACGATATATAACTTTATAAGTTTTAAAAACTATACAGAGATAGTGCTACTATGTAGAATACCAGCTGATATGACTACGACCAGAGCGACATAGTCCAGACTATTCGGGCTTAGGGGTTAAGGTCGAGGCCGAAGGCTTTGATCAGTGCTATCCGAGGCTACTTCTACGGCCGAACTCCAGAAAGCTGCTGCGGCGATGGTGAAAGAGTCCCGGAACCACTGCTCGGCAATGACCCGTATGTTTGCAAGATCCGGATGCTCTGGAAAGTATCCTGGAAATGTCGAACCTTGGCTAGCAAATTTATAATATTAACCCCAAACCCTACTCCCAGCTATTTTATGATGCTTCTGGCAGCTCACAGCTGAGGAACGCGACATAATGAGGGGTCTCGAGCTCCCTGTGGATTCTTGTCTTATATATGCTTGAAAAGCACAGCCCATGTCCTTAATTATTATTATATAGCTCAAACTGAAAACCAGGATGTGCACTACGTCCAGATCCCGGTTCTGGCGAAGGCCAATCGGCGAGAACATACACTGATGAATCTGCCGATTATCTACCCGCATGAATTGGTCCATTATCTTCATGTGCCTTAGCTTGAATATGGGGCCCCTGCAGTAGTGCTGCACTGCTGTCATACGCAAATCAAGGAAGCCGGGAGGGTCAAGATCTCCCAGGAGGCTATTGATGAGTATTGGAGTTTTCTTGAGGCCCACCAGGACTGGGCCAGTGTGCACCCGGGACATGGCTGCATGCCGATTGGCATGCATGGAGACGACGGGAAATACAACAAAGCGGGGGATAAGGTTATACTTATCACCATGAACTTTATCTTGGGTCGAGATACCGGCAGAAACTTGAGAGCAAGTATTACTATTTTCGGTGTTGTTTTCAGTACCCTAAACCCTAAAGCCCAAACCCCAAACCCTAAACCCTAAACGTCTAGTCAACCCCCCAGGAAGCCAGCAACAACGATACCCGCTTCTGAATCTGAGAGAATATATCTCTCTCGGCTACGAAAGCCTACATCCTGCCCTGGAAGTCATTACATGGTCCCTGAACCAATTGGCTCTTGGGGTTCATCCCTCTTTGGACTGGGAAGGGAAGCCATATCGTGGAAGATATGCTGCTGGCACTCCCATCCAAGGCCTTCGGCAAGCACCAGCAGCCAAAGCCATCGAACAACCTCAGAGTTTTTAATGCAAACCCTAGCTAGGTTAAGGGTTTAGGGTTTAGGGTTTAGGGTTTAGGTTTTAGGGTTTAGGGTTTCGGGTTTCGGGTTTAGGGTTTAGGGTTTAGGCCTAAACCCTAAACCACAAAGCCCTAAACCCTAAAGGCCCTAAACCCTAAGATTGTAAACCCTACACCCCGAATCCCTAAACCCTAATTATAATAATATCCTTATTAGCACTTTGTTATTATAATCGTCTCAGGTGGGAGGGCCTACCTGCTGGAGCTGAGAGGTGACTGGAAATGGCATAAAGAATTTATGCGACTACGCTGCAGCTGGCAATCCACAAGTGTGTGCCACCTTTGCAAAGCCCAATCCCGTGGTCCACTTTCGAGACTTGGCAAAACTTATATTAATATTCGACCCAGAGTCACAACTAAGCTGCCTAGGTGGAAAACCTCCCTCACCCGCGAGTTCGAGCGACGGGCGCAAGCTGACATTCTGGTGAATGGAATGAGGCATACTGTCAGCTTGAAACTTACGGCTTTTTACTAGTATGTAGCTTTCCGGTTTAGGGTTTTTAATTTATAGCTATATACACATATATATGTCTACTTTCGGCTTAGTCGCTAATCTGACCCCTGAGTCGCCCAGCAAATCCTCTTATATTGGCCGCTGGATTCCGGCCAGACTGGATAAAGCCCTGCTGCATGCACACCGTGCACCTTGGAGTATTACAATACCTCAACGGCAGCATATTTACACTACTCGACGAGCTCAGCTACTGGGCATAGTGTGGACGAAACTTAAAGCTTCAAGGGATTAGGACATAGTGGGTTTCGGTAGTTTTAGATTTTGATGTTATTTGCAAGCCCCTATGTGAGGCTGGCTTGGAAACTCCGACTTGACTGGGAAGATGGTTACTCTGTGCAACCGCTTCAAAGCTTGGGCTGCCTTGAATGGGCTTCAGACTCTTGTCCGGGTTAATACGAGTTTAGGGTTTAGGGTTTTAGGGTTTTAGGGTTTTAGGGTTTTAGGGTTTAGGGGTTTAGGGCTTTAAGTAGTTAGCTCAAGTTTCGAGTTGCTGTATGAAGCAATAAAACAGACTATAAGCAGGTAATCCGAGATCGCCAGTAAATCACCCAAAGTGCTTGAAACCACTCCAGCAGGCCATCGTCGCTATTGTGTGAAGGCTTGATTATAATCGGGGTGTAGGGTGACACCTGGGCCGAATCTTTAGGGCTAACCTAAGGTGTTTGTAGACTCCACAAAGCCACCAAGCTTCCAGAACCCTTGAAAACCTTAGACTTAATCCCGGGCCGGCCCTGATGCTATCTATCCCTGGCCTGAAGGCACTCGCAAGCAATGATGACTGGGGGCTTACTTAGCTGGGAAGGTGGGGCATTCCCACGGTTGGACCTCAAAGCTTGGAATACACGACTGATGACGGCTTTTTTTCATGTCGTCTTAAATCGACTACAGCGAGATGCACTGGGAAACGATGGCATGGATCCTTTACTGCTTAAGGAGCTGCGATTGGCCTTTGGGGTCACGAATGCTATCGTCGCTTTTCTCGATGCAATGGAACGGGCGCCGCGCTACCTGACTGGAGATCAGGCACTTGACATGGCGAAGGCCTGCGCGACGTTCCTATCGCTGTGCGAGATTCTGGCACTGCTCTCGATTCAGAGGCAGGTGCCTCGCTGGAAAGTGGTGCCCAAGCACCACCTTTTTAAGCACCTTGCCGAGGACCAGGTCCGAACTCTGCTCAACTGCCGATTCTTCCACTCATTTGTGGATGAAGACTTTATCGGCTTCTGGAAGGGCTTGGTTCAGGCGGTGCCGAAGGAGCTCCTCGAGTTCCGATGTCTCACCCGGTATCTCTTAAGACTTAAGGTGCAGTGATAGGATCTCAGAATATTGAGCTATAGGGTTTAGGGCTTAGGG